AGAAAACTATATGTATATTTATTAATAAATTTGTTAGAATCCTTAATTCAGAAGTGGGATACCATTCACGTTCACAGTTATATTTATGTAATACGCTTTTGATTACATAAAAAGTAATAAATGAAATGAAACATGAATTCTGTTTTAAAATCTACTTTAACAATTACTTGCGTGTGAATATGACTGATAAATAATATTACGCTCGCAACAAATCGCGTCGACAAGACAAGGACCGATTGTTTTACAACAGAACTCGATCTAAGAATGTAAGTTTGGATTACGATAAAGAAATAGGACAAATTCTTTTTCAGGTCATCCTATTACGTTGAAACGTAATAGGGTACTGAAGTACATTAGAAATTTAAATTTAATTTAACTTTGCGTCGAAGTCTAAAACAACAAAACTTTTGGTTTGTATACTCTTTCACTGGGAAATTAAAACAAATCGAATAAGCAATTCAAATTAAGGCATGAGTCTCACAGGTATAGAATTTGTTTTATTAATAGTACACGCATTCGGTAAGTTTTATTTGCTATATTTAATTCATAAACATACAGGGGTAGTTAAGTTCATGTTTATCAATACATTTTCACTCTTTAACTTCACTAAGATCATATTATCTGACCGTGGGTGAATTTTCGAACTTATTTTGATAGGCTATACATAGAATTTAAAAGGCTATAGGGTTTATGATCCTAAAAATAACTCAGTTAAAACTAGCAGAGACATTATCATAATGGAACCAACCAAAAATACAGTTCATATTCCTTTTATGTTTCAGGTTTCAGCGGAGGAACAGAGTGAAGAAGAAGAAAATGGTAATGCAGATATCATAAATACTGAATGTAATGGTAGTGATGTCACATATATTCCAAAAGCTTCTTCAATAATTGACTCATATCAATGTTTCTGATACAACATCAGAACCAGACTATTATTATCATCATCCACTTAATCCTTATTAGACTTGAGTCGGGACTTTCCCAACAAATGAGTGAGAAAATTACCTGATAGATTCACCTACAATCATTTTTGTATTTCAGAAGCAGATGATCAGAATTTAATGGATATTACACACGAGGGAGCTTTAAATGGAACTGAGAGTAAATTTTGGAGAGCAAGTATGGAGGAAGAATTAGGAGCGTTTAAGATAAATGATGCATGAGAACTTGTGGATAACTCAACTGTAAAATTAGGTTTAGATAATATACACCATCTTGATGTAACAACAGTTTTCCAGAATGATGTTTTGAATGATTCTGTGTATATACAAAAACTTGTATTGTATGAGGATGATAATACTGATAATAACAAGGCTTAAACATGCCATCTATGGACTTAAGCAGTCCTCACATGCATGGTATGAGAGAGTCAATGATCACTTAAAGTCTTTAGGTCATTTAAAATCTAAGTATGAACCTTGTTTATTTACAAAGTTTGTAAGAAATGTTAAAGTGATAATGGCATTGTTTAGTGATAATAGCTTTGTTTGTTGGTGACTTTTTTGTGTTCTCTAAATGTAAAATGGCAACTAATCAGTCAATAAAAGATTTAAGCAGTAAATTTAAAATAAAAGATCTAGGCGAAATAAACCAATGTTTAGGCTTAAGAGTAAATATGTATCAAAATGTTATAACTGTTGATCAAGAACAATATGTAGAAAGCTTATGTACTGAAATTAATTAATATGTTACATTGTAAAACTGGAAACTCCTATGGAGGTTAATATAAGGCTAGAAAAATCTAAGACCAGTTTTTGTGATAAGAAAATTCCATATTGACAACTGGTAGGTAGTGATTTTAATAACTCATATGATTTCATCGTATGAGTTATTAAAATTCATTGGAAACATTTAAGATAAATAAATAAATAAAATTCATTGGAAACATTTAAAATAAATTTTAAAGTACTTAAAATGTACTAAAAACTGGCCTTGTTTAAAAAAAGGATAATTTTTATGTACAAGGATATGTTGATGCAGATAGGAATCAGATTCAAATGATAGAAAATATTTTTCTGGATTTTGTTTTACGTTGTCTGGTACAGTAATTTCTTTTGAATGAAGAAAACACAGTAATATAGCTTTGTCTTAAACATCAGAGTATAATTCCATGTCAGGAGCTAGTAAGGAGGCTATTTAATTAAAAACACTATTTAATTTTGACATTGGAAGCTATTTAATTTGGAAATTGGGAGTAATTCAGAAACAATTACTTTGTATAATGATTGTCAAAGTGCACAAAAACTTGTTTCGAATCCATTATACCATAGGAGATCTAAATATATAGATGTTAGATACCATTTTGTGAGACAGGCAGTAGCAGATAAGTTTGTTAAAATTGATTATTTATAAACTGCTAAACTGCCAGCTGATATTTTAACAAAAATGTAGGTTCTTTAAAGCATAAATATTTTAATAAAAAAACTTGGTTGGTATACTAGCAATTTCAAATTTTTTATCATTTTGATACGCAGAGGTGTTAGTATTATAATAAGAACAATAAATATACGTGACTAGCGCCATCTGTAGTAACTAATGTGTTTGTGTAACCTTGTTTCCCTCGTCTATCGAACCGTCGCTGCTTGTACTATTATCAGGGAGCTCACCGGCTGCTGATACAATATCAAGTCAAACAAGTCTTACGTAAATTGTCAGAGGCGGACATAGCGTTCTCACAATATTAATTATTTAATTTTCTTTAGATAAAAGAAAATTAAATAATTAATATTGTGATATTAATTATTTAATTTTCTTGTGTGTATAGAAAACTATATTTTTTAATTATTTTGTTAGAATCCTAAATATATTCTTAACTTAAAAATTACCTAAAAAGCTGTTCTCTACTGAGAGGAAGGCATAAAGGCCTGCTATGAGCAAGACATTAGACAAGGGCGAAGAGTTGAGGTTTCATGTTGTCTGTCAGTTGCACTATAGAATCTATACTAATAATATAAAGAAGAAAGATTTGTATTTTTATATGTAACGAATAAACATAAAAAGTACTGGACCGACTTTAATAATTCTTTTTTCATTAGAAAGCTACATTATCACTGTAACATAGGCTGTATTTAGTACTTAATTACTATAGAAATCTTTAGAAATTCCTGTTAAAAAAAATGTTCGACCATATTATATTATAGAATATATATCTACAAAAATCTGCGCGAGACCATTTGTCTAACTATTGTAGTTACGTCACTATGACAACTTTTTTACATTTTACAAATTGATAGAATTCAGACCGAAATCAGACCGTGTTATCCAATATCCACACCATCTATAAATTTTTATACAAATAAATAAGTTAATATTCAAGATTGTCTCAATACCTAATGATTACTTTTAATTATTGAAATCGGACATTCCATTCAAAAGATATCATGAAATAAAATAACACATGCCGGCGGTGGCCGCTACGCAGCGTATCTAGTTACTAACTCGACGACAGAGGGGCAGTGCGGAAGAAGGGGGTGCACCATTAAAAACTAGGTAGCCGCGCGTCTCATCTGATCGGTCGGCTCTTTACGTACGCGACATTTAATATTTCGAGATTTTTTAACACATTCTTATGCTTCACTTAAAAAGTTATTTTCAGTGTAACTTAGTTTTAGTATTAGGAAACACACTTTTTATATCTCTTTGAACTTCAATAAACATTTATTTTTTTAAATTAATATTTTTAGTTTATTCTTAGTCATTAAATTATTCTTAATTTCTCTGATTTAAAATCCACATCCTTCATAGCAATATGCCTAGAAGAAGAAGGTCGCAGCTATCTAAGAATAGTTTCCAAACGAGGTTAGCAAAAGTTCGGCGTATTGGAGAGTCCTTCTGAAAACGCATATCTTCTGGAAAGTATGAGAGTGTCCGCGTACTAATCGCGAGCTAGTGAATCTAACGTCGAACGCTTAGGTATTTATGTCTACCCGTGCGAAGCCGGGACGGGCCGCTAGTATTTAATAAAATTATTGTGAGTAAAAGCAGGAACAAAATCATATATTATTATTATAAGACTAGTATGTAATAATTTACGGAATCGTGTCTCCTAAAAATGAATCAAAGTCCATGATACATTCCTAGCCTAGTGTAGACGTCAAAGTTTACTGTAAATTGCATTGTTATGTTTTTTTACAAATAAATAAAATATTGAAATTAAATAAAACTTCGGATGTACGGATATATAACAATTATTTTAGTTTGATTTTGCTTTTGTTTTTTAAAAACAATATCGAAGAGCAAACGCTATTATTGTTATATATTCTCTTTGTATTCTCAATAAAAATATTGAAATTGTCTTCTACAGAATTTATATAATTTGTTACCTTATCTTATTGATAACAATGTATACATAAATAGAAATTTTAATTCATAAATCCAGTTATCTTCGATGTTATCTACTAATAATCTTTACGTGATTCACTACCTATCTTTTTTTATAATCCTAAAGACCTCCTGTAGTTACATTGGAACATTTTTGTTTTATTTGGTTCTAAAATATTTGAAAAAAATCCAAGTCTACGATTAAATTAAACGTTAAAAATTATTGATGTATTTTTATACAAACTTTGAAAGAAGAAAACGAACGTCGGATATAATTGTGGATTGGTATAAAAAAAAAGTTAGTTGGTCAGAACAAATGCTGTGTAGGTACCCCACAATGCGGAGAGTTTTTATGTGATTCTGTTATTTCTTGAAGTAAAAGGGCCAACTTCGCTTGATGTTCTGAAAACGGTTAATATGGTGATAACAGCTTATGGTGATTATGGTGATTACATCTTTTCATCATCTTATTTTTTATCCGCTTACATAAGTTTTAGGTTTGCTTGAAGATGACTAGCATTGTTATGCTACCTTACAAGATGTTGCACTCTCTGAAACTTGTTTTTAATAGGTATAGTATAATAGAGTTTTGTCAAGTGTCAGGTCCATAAGGACTTTGGAATTCACTTAAAGATATTTTGTATATAGTAAAACTTTCCGGCATAACATACAAGCTTATGGAATGGTATAGCGAACGAGCTATTTTAACTCTCGAGGATGAACAAGCTGCATCTATTAACGGTTAGCTGCATCTATTAACGGTAATTACGGGAGAACTTTTTAATTCCCTTAAACCAGGTGGTCTCAAAACCATTGGCTTACACTGCAAAAATATATACAGGTAATGTTGCTGCGTAACCTGAAGCCGCCGAATGTGTGGAACTTTATGATGATGATAAATAACAACAAAACATTGCTTACTCATATGTCAGCTCTAAGTCTTACCTCTTCTCTTCTACTAGACTAGTTGAATAAGGTTATACATATCTATTAATAAAACAACTACATATACTCAAGACCTGAAATATGTTCAAAATAAACAAGCCCCCATCGTAGCCTAAGAATACACTTTTACACTTGGGCCGTGACCTATAAGTGTGGCTCTTCCCAAGTGGTTTCTTTAGTAAATATGATTTTTTGACGCGACGTGTAAAAAAAGTTCGGCGAAATTGTGAAGAAAATTAATTAATCACAACAAAGTTGTTAATATATTATGTAACCTCAAAATGTAGGATTCAATTGGAGGTAAATTCCAGGTCAGCTTAAATTCGAAACAATAAATAATGTTATAAGTCAGCAGAATCATGGTAAGAGAAAAGATTACTGATCGGAACCACCGGACAGGCCCGATTTTTGATTTGAGTGCTTGGCTGAAACACGAGAAGTTCTTGTATAATTCTTGGATGTAAAGGATTATAGAGTATATATATATATATATTTTTTTATGAAAAAAAAAAACAAAAGAAAATGCGAAGTAAAAAATAAAATATAACTTTTGCCGGTAACTTGGTAAATGTAGATAAGATTAGGCTAAAACATTGTTCGAAAAATCCGAAATGAAACTATTCTACGTTTAATATTGTTATTTGTTAACGAGTTGTCACATAAATGCTTGTTGAACTACTAAATCGAAAAACAACAACTACAATGCATGATATTTAATATGATTGAATAAAAATAAGCATTTTGCACTAGTTAATACAAGACTGGCTACTGCTAAAAAGTTTTAGCATGACTGCTAAATAAGCACCAAGATCACCTAGCTACGACTACTTTGTATTTATTTTAATTTAATAAAAATAACACGACAATTAGTCATAAAACGCTATGAGGAATATGAAATTATCAAAATAATAGGATTAGTGAAATATATCAAATGAGGTGATTTTTATATCTCACTACATTTGCCCGCGACTTCGTCCGTGTTAATTTCGGCATTATTAATATATAATAGAAAGCCAACAAATGGGGCAATACCCAACAACTACAAAACAACAGAAATGTTATAAAAATTAAGAATTACGTTAACATGAATAGTTTGGCAGTATTTAACAAATTAACTACAGAAAGAAAATGTCGTTTTGGCTAGGAGTTGAGTTCTCGAGTAAGAAATATGGTTTTTCGCTATATGAGGAAAAGTCGAACATTTTCCGGGATGTAAAGTAGCCTATGTGTTATTTCTGGACGTCAGCTTCCTGTATACAAAATTTTATAAAAATCGGTTCAGCCGTTTGAGCGTGAAGAAGTAACAAACATACACACACACTCACAAACTTTCGCAATTATAATATTAGTAGGATAAGATGGTGTTCTTGGTAGATATGGAAATGTTTTCGTAAGCGGCTAGTGCCAAAACGTAATTAAGATCTAATAGATTATTGCAATTACAGATTTTTTGAATGATATCCCATAGTATCAATATGATAAATTTTATAGGTACTATATATATAGTTTGGGAACGAGCAACATAGGTATTTCTATTAGCAAGGAACAGACGCACAGGTGAGAATAAAGCTAAATATAAAATATATTTTTGCGCCTGGGCTATAATTATACATATAAATATTTTTAATTAAGCGTATAATTACATCAGAGTCATATTTTAATCGGAATAAATTAAGTTAATATTTTTTACCGCTATTTTCAGGGACAATGAAAGTTCAATTCTTCGCTCTTCTTTCGCTCGTAGCAAGCATTTATGCCTTCCCTTCATTGGAAGACAACGTTTATGGTATGGTAAAAATATAATATATGAAAATGAAATGCTTGCAAATGATGTATGTATATATCTTTATTTAAATTAACAGAGTTAGGTCAGCCGATCCAAAAAAATGCCGCGGAAGACAGAGTCAGGGAAGGATTTGCGAAATTTATTGAAAAAATACAAAGTGCCGGTTATGATCCGTTAGAAATAGACAGGAGAGAAATTAATATGAACATCGCGATCATGTTAGTATTATGATTGACAATATACACTATGTTTGAGTTTTGCAATGAATAATGTCTCATTTACATGTACCTATAGGTATAATAGTTATTACTTTTGATAATAAGAATAGTTAAGTAACTGAATTCATTATTCATTCAGAATATTGTATAAAATTATAAAATCAAATTAAATTTTAACGAAAGATCTTAATATGTTCACAGAGGACTTATATTCGAGGCTTTCATTGAGAATGTGCGAATCTCTGGACTCAGTGACATTCACATCAGCAGCTTGGAATACAGTTACCTCTTCAACAGATTGCGTATTGATGTGTATATACCCCAAATTGATGTTTTATTTGGTACGTATTTTGGATATTTATTTTGACAACGTTTTATTTTTAAGTTAATTTGTTGAAACCAATTTAAGTTTTTTTAACGATATGTATATTATTTTTAGACAACACTAAATTCGGAGCCATTAGCCGCAGACAAGAATATGAAGGTGAAATGAATGGCAAGTAAGTGGAAGTTTTTAGTTTGGTTTAATTAAAAGAAATCATTTCTGTAATCAATTTTCTTCTTTATTAACTAATATTCACTTGCATATTTTTCTCCCAGTGTATATATAAACGAATTCCGTATCCGGGGCGTTGTTTACGTTAATGTCAATGTCATCGGACAAGTCTCTCTTCGAAGTATTTCATTGGACTCCAGCCTTAAGGGTATTGAGGTATAAGTTTATCCAAGTTAATCATATTTTAATATAATAAATCAAAGACTGACGGTGTTACAATAAAAAAACAAATTTTGTTATTTTTTTAATTTCGGGCAGCGTTCGCTTTTTAGTGATAATTCTACCTTAATTTTTAAATGTGCCATCGTTTTATTGTGAAGTAGAATAAATAGATTTTTATTATACAACTTACAAACGACTAATGTTATAATGAACGAAATAAAGAAATTGATTGTGATTATATTTAATTACTGTATATCTATGCTATATTATTGTATTCAATAATTATATTTCTTACAGGCCGACATCAACGCTGTCATAAATGGAAACGATGGTTCTGAATACATGAACAATCTGTTCAGCGTAAGGATCCCTGCCTTCTTTAATAATAACAAGGCAAGTTACCAATTAACCTCGGTTACATGTTTTATCAAACGTAATGAAACATTTATTTTTTTATTTTTTAGGATGATCTCGACAAAATCTTCGAATTAATCGTTGAATATATTCTGTGGGTCATCTGGAACGTTTAAAAGAAGAGTGTGACGAATATCACTATGAGTTGGATATGTGCCTTTACCCAAATAGATTTATAAAAAGTAACTGTGAAATGAATTTTTGAAGACATATTTTGTTTCCCTGTTTTATTAACAATGATTACATTCATCTGAAATATATTTGTAGTTTTTATAATATTTTTACAATCTTTTTACTTTAATTACATTAAAATAGTAAGAAGTAATCAACGCTACAATGCTATTATGAAAAGTGAATTTTATTGAATTCGTTATTATTATACGTTTTGTTAATACTTTGACGATACTGAAGATGAATAGTAGTTTAATATCGAGAATATAATTTTTATTTAGGATATAACTAAGCGCGTCATTGTCTTGAATGTATCTTTGATTAATTGAAAAATTAAAGAAGGGGTTTACTCTTAAACTTTCGTATGTAATCTGTTTCATAATATCATACATTATATATAAATATAATGTATAAACTTTATAGAACTAGCGGACCGTCCCTGCTTCACGAAAATGGATTTTATTACTTTTGGGTTATATGTATCGAAATATGTATACATATATTTTTTCAATCAAATAAATTAAAACGTCCACAAGTCGATTTGTACAAATGTTCGAAATTTTAAACAAAGATTTCAGTCTTCAAACTAACCACTTCCCATTTCATATCATATAGACCTAAGTTTTCTTCCTAGAAATATAAATTTTAAGGTTTTTTGTTATATATTGATTCCTCGACTATGAGCAATCACAGTCTCCTAGATTTTCCGGTTGGCCATTTATTGCGAAACTATATTATATACCATATTCCGGTTGTTCTTCAACATTAAAGAGCAGTACTTTCGACGATGCGCTACAAATACTGTCCTTTCCATAAGAACATTTTTAAGCAAAAACGAATATAAAACAAAACCTTAGAACATTTGCTCTTATAATAATTGGCTCGCTCATTTTTTCTTTACGGATTTGGTCCGAAATAGTAATTGACTAAATTAGATTTGATTATGCTATAGGAGTATAAGGTCTAAGAAGTATTTCTAAGTCACTATAACTTTTAAATCAGAGGTTAAATTTAACATAATCGATTGTAACAGTTTTAATTCAATACCAAAGGCGAAATGTTCTATTAAAATGATCATATTCAATCATATATAAATCTGATTATCTTCGACATTATCAATACACTTTACGTATTTATCTCATAATTTTTTTATCATCCTAAAGATCTCTTGTCGTGACATTGGAAAGTTTGTATGATTTATTTGTTTCTCAATATAAAAAAAAACTTCCAAGTTAATATAACCAGGCTGATGATGACTATATTTAAATACCATTGATGTATCTATATACCACGTAAAAAGAAGAAAACGAAGGGCTGATGTACAAAGATTGATATGACATGGATATCTCGTCTCCCCGGGATCACATTTGCCGAAAGTAACCGAAACGTTGGGAGTACGTAGTTATTAAATATAACAAAAAAATACGCGTACTTTAATTCGAAAAATATTAGTTTCATTTACATATCATCATCATCATCATTAGCCTATCAGAGCCCACTGCTGAGCAAAAGGCCTCTTCTCACACAGAGAAAAATAACTTATATAAAAATAGAAGTTAAAGATAATATGTTAAAAATAACAAACTGTCGTAGCTTAAGCGTCAGACACTTGTCTAAATTTTGGCTGTGTGTTGCAAAATACTCAATAGTTCCTTTTGTTTCAAGTAAAATGTTTTTTATCAATACATCAGGCTATGGACTGAAGTAGACGTGTCAATGTTATTCGGTGAAATTGTATAGAAATAAATTAATGAAATGAAAATTGTTAATATGTGTAACCTTAAATTTAGGTTTTAATTGAGGAATTTTCATGTATGCTTAAATTCAAACTATAAATCGTGTTATACAGTTCAGTTATTTGGTGAAAAAAGTGCGTTGAAGGTTTTCCAGCAGTTTTAAAAATTGGTGGATTTATAGATTTCGGGTTGCTTTTTTTTAATTCGACTTATCCACCTCGTATCCCCTCTGCTCGGGATGCCATATTGACAAAATGACGCCTGAAAACGGTTTTTGGGAATATCTCCTTTCCGACGTATTTTACGACAAAAATGTTTACGTACAAAATTAAACTCCAAAAAATTTCTAACAATTTATATATTCATTTTTTTTTTCATAAAATTAATAATTTTCCAAGTTTCTCTCAGCCGATGCACAATACCATAATTACTGCATGAAAACTTTTATATCTTGAATCGCGAAAAAAGTTTAACTTTATTATACATAGTTTCTTTTAATACTTGACTCACGAAAAGGCTCCAATCCTTTTTTTTCACTTCAATTGTTTCATTTTCTAAGAGTGAATTGTCAGGAATAAAACAACTCGTTTTTACTTCGTTAATTTCACTGTTTGTTTTTTATTTGTAAACCAAGTGAACCGTTATACAAAGTTAACTTACAATTAAATATTTTATTCTATCTCATTTTCTATTAAACCATTTGATTGATAAGTCAGAAAATTAAATTGAAACATCTGAAATTGGACAATTTATGACTTTTTTTGCTGATAGGAGTACTTTAAGTAATATAATTTAAAATATAACTTTGGTATTTAACTTGGTATATGTACATAAATAAGATTAGGCTACAAGAGATTCCGTAAAATACAAGATGAAACTAAAACTATGAAACTCTTCTCCGTTTAATATTGTTATTTATTTACTAGTTGTCACTACTGCTAGTTGAACTACTAAGTCGTGAAAAAAAAACAGCAACATTACTTGATATTTAAAACGATTGAAGAAAATTAAGCATTCTGTACTTATTTCCGGGATCGCCCCCATTCTCCGAGTTAGTAAGTCCGGTCTTTGCCAGGACCGGTCAGTCGCTGGTGTGCCCTGTCGCTGACAGATCCGGGGTACACCGACATAGCGGCCGATGGCTTTCGCAGTGGTTTTAGTGAGTAGGGGCCTGCCTAGGCCGAGCCTCACACATCCCTTCCGGCCCCACCAAGGCCGGTTGGAGGGCTCGTAAAAAGAGTTTCCCTGCGACAGCAAAAAAAAAATTATGTACTTATTAAGTATTAATTACTTATTACCCCTCAGCTTGTTACTGCAAAATGTTTTAACATGCTGCTCTATATGAAACTAAGTTAACTAACTACGACTACATTGGTTTTATTGTAATTTAATAAAATTAGTCACCACAACGACAATTAGTCACAATACGCTGTTAGATCTATGAAATTATCAAAAAGATAGGATTAGCGAAATATATCAAATGAGGTGATTTTTATATCTTAAAAGATGGTATTTTTAGTGGATAAGACAATGTTTTCGTAAGCGACTTATTAAGATCTAAGAGATAATGGCAATTATAGATTTTTAATGACATCCTGTGATATGAATATGTTATATGACTAATATTATAGACACTATATATATAGCTAGAGAGCGAGCAACATATTTCTATTTGCAAGAAACAGAGGCACAGGTGAGAATAAAGCTAAATATAAAAGACACTTTGTCCTGATCTATAATTGTGTATATAAATATTTTTAACTGAGTATATAATTACATCAGAGTCATATTTTAATCGCAATAAATTAAGTTAATATTTTTACCGCTATTTTCAGGGACAATGAAACTTCAATTCTTCGCTCTTCTTTCGCTCGTAGCTAGCATTTATGCCTTCCCTTCATTGGAAAGCAACGTTTATGGTATGGTAAAAATATAATATATGAAAATGAAATGCTTGCAAATGATGTATATATATTTATTTGAATTAACAAAGTTAGGTCAGCCGATCCAGAAAAATGCTGCGGAACACAGAGTCATAGAAGGATTTGCGAAACTTATTGAAAAAATTCAAAATGAAGGTTATGAACAATTAGAAATAGACAGGAGAAAAATTAATATGAACGTTGCGATTGTGTTAGTATTATGATTGACAATATACTCTATGTTTAAGTTTTGAAATGAATCATGTCTTATTTATATACTAATTATTTAGAATATTGTATAAAATTACAAAATTAAATTATAAAGCAAGGTCTTAATATGTTCACAGAGGACTTATATTCGAGGCTTTCATTGAGAATGTGCGAATCTCTGGACTCAGTGACATTCGCATCAGCAGCTTGGAATACAGTTACCTCTTCAACAGATTGCGTATTGATGTGTATATTCCCCAAATTGATGTTTTATTTGGTACGTATTTTGGTTGTTTCTTTTGACAACCTTTTATTTTTAAGTTAATTTGTTGAAACGAATTGAAGTTTTTTTAACGATATGTATATTATTTTTAGACAACACTAAATTCGGAGCCATTAGCCGCAGACTAGAATATGAAGGTGAAATGAATGGCAAGTAAGTGGAAGTTTTTAGTTTGGTTTAATTAAAAGAAATAATTTCTGGAATCAATTTTCTTCTTTATTAACTAATATTCACTTGCATATTTTTCTCCCAGCGTATATATAAAAGAATTCCGTATTCGAGGTGTTGTTTACGTTGATGTCGATGTCATCGGGCAAGTCTCTCTTCGAAGTATTTCATTGGACTCCAGCCTTAAGGGTATTGAGGTATAAGTATATCCAAGTTAATCATATTTTGTTTTTTTTTTATTTCGGGCAGAGTTCGCTTTTTAGTGATAAGTCTACCTTAATTTTTTAATGCGTCATCGTTTTATTGTGAAGTAGAATAAATAGATTTTTATTATTATAATGAACGAAATAAAGAAATTGAGTGTGGTTATATTTAATTAAATCAGTGGTGGCCTAGTGGTTAAGGGGCCCGCCTCTCGTTGCCGATGGCGCGGGTTCAAACCTGGCGAGTACCAATATGATTTTTCGGAGTCATATGACATCACTGACATACGGTGAAGGAAAACATCGTGACGAAACCTGGACTTATAGTTTCACAATTATAAGTTTGAAATCACCAACCCGTCTTGAGCAAGCGTGATGATTAATGCTCAAACCTTCTCCATGTGAGAAAGAGGCCTTTGCTCAGCAGTGGGCTTCTGATAGGCTGATGACATGATATTAAATTATTATATTTCTTACAGGCCGACATCAACGCTGTGATTAATGGAAACGATGGTTCTGAATACATGAACAATCTGTTCAGCGTAAGGATCCCTGCCTTCTTTAATAATAACAAGGCAAGTTACCAATTGAACTCGGTTACATGTTTTATCAAACGTAATGAAATATTTTTATTTTTTATTTTTTAGGATGATCTCGACAAAATCTTCGAATTAATCGTTGAATATATTCTGTGGGTCATCTGGAACGTTTAAAAGAAGAGTGTGACGAATATCACTATGAGTTAGTTATCTGCCTTTACCCAAATAGATTTATAAAAAATTAACTGTGAAATGTATTTTTGAAGACCTATTTTGTTTCGCTGCTTTATTAACTGAAATATATTTGTAGTTTTCAACATATAAAAGCTTTTTATTTTAATAACATTAAAATAGTAAGAAATAATAGTCAACACTAGACGCCCATTGTCTAAGTGAATTTTTTTGAATTTGTTATTATTATACGTTTTGTTAATACTTTGACGGTTCGGAAGATAAATACTATTATAGTATCGGGTATATAAATTTAAGTTAGAATATAACTAAGCGAGTCTTTGTTTTGAATTTATCTATGAAGAATCGAAAAATTAAACAAGAGATTTGATCCGAAATATTATTATATACTTTATAATGTTACATATGTACATTATATTTATAATTAATAGAACTAAAGTGTCGTCACGTCTTCACAAAAGTGGTTTCTTATTTTTTAGTTTTGGCTTATATGCATTGAAAATTGTTTTTACTGAAGTAAATTATTAAAACGTCCACAGCTCAATTTTACAAAATGTACAAAATTTAAAACAAAGATATCATCTTCAGATTAACTACTTCTCAGTTTTACCATAGGGCCATATGTTTTCTTCCTTGAAATATAAGTTTTTAACATTTTGATCAATGGACTATAAGCTTTAACAGTCTTATAGTTTTTCCGTTTAGCCTTTTCGTGGAATTAGATTGTATCCCACATTCTGGTTGTTTATTTATTTATTTATTTGATCCACCAACATTTGTTCACATCATCACATACGTAAGAAAAATATACAATACACATAACTTAAAACTAGGTGTGACAAACATTTATAGGTAGATACATCATGTTTAATTTCTATCTAAATTAGACCTCCCAGCGCGAGCCGCAGTAAAAACAAAAGCCAAAATTTAAAAAAAATGGTTCATTTACAAAATGAAATAAAAATTTAAAAAAACAATGAAAAGATTAAATTAAAAACTAAAAGTGAACCATGAGACGGACAAATACAATTTTAAGGTGACCGAGGTAAGGTGTTTAACAGTGACCGAATTCTTTTCGTTGAGTCGTCATAAATATTAAACACGTCGCTGTAATCATTAACCAGCTTGCTAAGTCTGGAAACTGGGGAGTTTGATCCGAACACAGTTTTTCGAGGTGGTGGATATAAGTGTTCTACAATATTAAAGAGAAGTATCACCCCCGGAGGGGTGCATATACCTACTGTCGCTTTCATAAGTCCATTTTTAAGCAAAACAGGAAATAAATCAAAACTCTAAAACATTTGGCTTAACATAGTAAATAGCTCGCTTACTTTTACTTTAAGTATTTGGTCAGATATAAAATTTAGAGCAGACATTTGACTAAATTAAATTTGACTATGCTGTAGGTGTAAGTATAATACATAATAAATACAATATGAGTATAATAATATATTAAATTCAATAACAGAAGCGAAGAGTCTGTTAAAATTATCATATTCAATCATATACATATATAAATCTAATTATTTTCAAAAATATCCACTAATAATCTTTACGTATGTGACTATTTTATTTTTATCATTCCAAAGACATACTGTAGTACAGTGTAGTAATTATGTTCTAAAATATAAAAAAAAACTTTCAAGAATATACATACAACAAGGCTTATGATAACTATATTTAAAAACCATTGACTTCTCCTTATACGAATTTTAGCGTAGTATAAATGAAAGCGAGCGAAGAATTGAAGTTTTTCTATCCCTCAAAACGGCGATAAAAAATATTAAATTAACGTATAGTTATTAAAATATGAATCTGTTGTAATTATATGGTTAATGAAAAATATTTATATATACAATACAATTGTAAACCAGGACAAATTATATTTTATATTAAGCTTAATTCATACACGTGCTTCTGTTTTGTGCAAATAGATATGTTGCTTGCTCCCTTTCTATATATACATATATATATTGTCCATAATCATGATATTAATCATATTCATATCACAGGATGTTATTGGAAAATCAAAAATTGCAATTATCTATTAAGTACATTCCAATTAGCCGCTTACGAAAACATTGCAATATCTAAACACAATCTACCAACAACACAATCTTAAGATAAGTGAGATATAAAAATCCTCTCATATATTATACTAATCCTATCTTTTTGATAATATAGTATTTTTATTAAATTCTAATAAATACAAAGTAATCGTAGTTAGGTGACTTAGTAGGCCATTTAGCAGTTACACGAAAAGTTTTAAGCTTGAAAAAGCTATGAATTAATAAATACAAAATACTTATTTTAATTCAATCATAATAAAATCATACAACGTAGCTGTTTTCTTTACGATTTATTAGTTCAACTAACTGTCGTGAAAACTCGTTAACAAATAAACATATTAAGCGGAGAATAGTTTCATTTCGTATTCTTCGAAAACTGTTGTAGACTAATCTTGTTTACATAGCAATTTATCGACAAAAGTTCTATTTTGTATCGTATTACTTAAAATACCAACATGAAATTTTTCCACCATTGAAACTTATTCGGGAGTACATTGAAACCTATTCGGGAGTACATATATTAAAAACTTTAAATTAATCCAAAATTTTGGACGTTGGTTTCGGTCCAAAACCTGTTTTTTATTTTTATGAGAAAGGTGTCAAACCAGCAGACGGTCTACTTAATGAACAGTAGTCACCTCCGCCCATGAAAATCCTCAACATATCTTACGTGTTGAATGCATTGCCGGCTTTGGTTATAGAGGAACAGGTAGGGGAGGGATCTTCTGTGAGAGGGTGGTACTTCCCCGGTGGAGCCAACCCATGTACGAGTTGTAGTAACTATCCACAGCTAGGCTCTCTCACCTCTTTTCGCAGTGAAGGAATTTTAAGAATTCTGCCGGGTAATTAATAGCACCATCCACATGGTATGGTATGGTGTGTGTATTGATTTATATATTTTTTACGTTGAATGTCTCAAAGTTTCAGAAAGTGCAGCACTTTGTAAAGTAGCTTATCACTCCTAGTCATGTTCAAGCAAACACAAAACTTATGTAAGCGATCGTTTTGTAAGTAATTGTTACACCATATTAATTGTTCTAAGAAATTCAAAGGAATTTGGCCATTTTCTTAATGCACGTAAGTAAATATAAGCAAATATAAAAAATCCGCATTGTTGGTGTGTACACTACATATAAACTCTGTTCCACGTTTTTTATTCCTATCCTGTACATTATTTTTTCTTTCAAGGTGTGAGTATAAAGATACAACGATCGTATTTCAGTATAGTCATCATCCGCCTCGTTATATACTTAGAAGTTTTTTTAATATATTCTAGAATCTAATAATTAATCGAAACTCTCCAATGTCACTACAAAATAAAATTATGAGATACGTAAAGAGTATTAGTTGATAACTTCGAAGTTTTATATGTATGATTAAATATATGGTTAAAGATCTTTATTCTCATAAGAACATACACAGGTTCACTTACATGAGATTAAATAATGTTACACATATACATTAATATTTGATACATGGAATGGCTAGTACTACTTAATATTGTCTAATATATATATTTTAAGTTTATTTTTAAAAGCAATTAAACATTTACATTCTTTTATGTAGTTTGGCAAGTCATTATATAGCTTTACTCCATCAAAACGTATATTTTTGTGTCCATAATTTAAGGTTCTGACTTTAGGTAATTCAAGTTTATGTCTGTTTCTTAAGTTATGCATGTTTGATTTTTGTGTAAATGTTATGTTTAAATGAATACTTTTAGATAGTATCTTCTTAATTAAAATACATGTGTTATAAATATATGTTTGATTTAGGTTGAATAATTTTGATTTTTTGTATAGTTCTATCGACGTTGTGAAAAAATCATAGTGAAAAAGTACTTTTATAATTTTGTTCTGCGTAATTTGTAAGATTTTAAGGTTAGACTTTGAAGTTGACCCCCATATTTCAATTAAGTAATTAACGTGTGGCTTTATCAGGGAATTGTAGATAACACATCGCATTTTTTTTGGTATACAATTATTGGATCTATCTATGGAATATGATCATTTTAACAGAACAGTTTGCTTGAAACTATTATTATATACAAATTGTACTTATTTTACATTTTATACTTATACTCTTATAGCATATTCAAATCTAATTTGGTGAAATGTCTGCTTTGAATTTTTATATATGACCAAAATCCTTAAAGAAAAAAAAGAAGCGATCCAAATAAATGTTCTGTTTTACTTATGAAATGGACAGTATATGCAGCGTTGATTTTTCTTACTTGTTCAGTGCTATAGAAGCAAAAGGATTGTAAAAACTACAAATACATTTCACGGTTACTATTATTATATATTATAAATCTATTTGGGTTAAGGCAGATAACCAACTCATAGTGATATTCGTCACACTCTTCTTTTAAGCGTTCCAGATGACCCACAGAATATGTTCAACGATTAATTCGAAGATTTTGTCGAGATCATCCTAAAAAATTAAAAAATAAATGTTTCATTACGTTTGATAAAACATGTAACCGAGGTCAATAGGTAACTTGCCTTGTTATTATTAAAGAAGGCAGGGATCCTTACTCTTAACAGATTGTTCATGTATTCAGAACCATCGTTTCCATTAATCACAGCGTTGATGTCGGCCTGTAACAAATATAATAATTGAATACAATATATATTAAAGATATACAATAATAAATTTATAACTTATTTAATTTCGTTCATTATAACATCAGTTGTAAGTGAGTTATAAGAATATTCTTCATGTTCTTAATCAAAATGAGACGATGAAACATGATAAAGAAAATTAATCTAATACATATTATCACTAAATGGCGATCTCTGCCTGACATTAAAAAAAACAAGTTGATTTCTTAATTGTAACACCACAAGCCTTCACCTTATTATTTTTAAAATACTATTTACTCGGATATACTTATACCTCAATACCGTTAAGGCTGGAATCCAATGAAATACTTCGAAGAGAGACTTGCCCGATGACATTGAAATTAACGTAAACAACGCCTCGGATACGAAGAGAAGAATATGAAATGAATATTAAAATGACGGAAACATCGATATTAGAATTGATTACTTTTAATTAAACCTAACTAAAAACTTCTACTTACTTGCCACTCATTTCACCTTCATATTCTAGTCTGCGGCTAGCGGCTTCAAATTTAGTGTTGTCTAAAAATATATGTAACATATCGTTGAAAAGTTAACTTGGTTTCAACAAAATTAGTTTAGGAATAAGTAAAATTTAAAAAAAGTGTAAAAATAAATAACCAAAATACGTACCAAATAAAACCTCAATTTGGGGAATATACACATCAATACGCAATCTGTTGAAGAGGTAACTGTATTCCAAGCTGCTGATGCGAATGTCACTGAGTCCAGAAATTCGCACATTCTCAATGAAAGCCTCGAATATAAGTCCTCTGTGAACATATTAAGGCCTTGCTTTATAATTTAATTTTGTAATTTTATACAATATTCTAAATAATTAGTATATAAATAAGACATTATTCATTTCAAAACTTAAACATAGAGTATATTGTCAATCATAATACTAACACAATCGCAATGTTCATATCAATTTCTCTCCTGTCTATTTCTAATGGATCATAACCCTCATTTTGAATTTTTTCAATAAATTTCGCAAATCCTTCTCTGACTCTGTCTTCCGCATCATTTTTCTGGATCGGCTGACCTAACTCTGTAATTTAAAATTAATATATAGACATCAATTGTAAGCTTTTCATTTTCATATATTATATTTTTACCATACCATAAACGTTGCCTTCCAATGAAGGGAAGGCATAAATGCTAGCTACGAGCGAAAGGAGAGCCAAGAGTTGAAGTTTCATTGTCCCTGAAAATGGCGATAAAAAATATAAAATTAACGTATTAACGTAATCTTATTCATATGTATAGCAAGTTATAGACAAAAGTTATGTTTTATATTGTATTACTTAAAATACTCTTTTATCAGCAAAAATAAAGATCATTAATTTTCCATTTTCAGATGTTTCAATTTAGTTTTCTGACTTACCAACCAAATGGTCAAATAAAAAATGGGATAGAATAAAATATTTAATTGTAAGTAACCTTATATAACAGTGACATTAATTCAAAAGTAATTAATGATTGCGTTTCCGAATAATCTTAAGCATTATTAAAATTTAAGCCGAAATTATTTTCAAAAAGTCATGTTTTTGAAAATATTTGATGAGCCTATAGCGAGCAATATATACGTAAATGTTTTTTAGGTTAAACTTTGCTTCTATTTATGTCTATTTTCATAAAAATGTTCTTCTAGCTCCATAATCACTACTCGTAGATATTGTCAAGAATCAAGATCATTTTTCATATACTAGATGACCCGGCGAACTTCGTACCGCCCTGTAATCAAGAAATATCTGTTACCTTTTTATCCGAATGAAATTAATTGCTTTATTGAGTATAACTGACCCGACAGACAATGTTTCGACCTTCTTAACTGTGAGTATTGAATTCAAATTGTGATATTAATAAATCACAATTATTTCAAAAACAGTGTTTATTATTCTAATGCTTTATTAATTCTAATTCTAACTACGTGAATATAACTGCCAGTGACACATTATTTTAATAATAAAGTGAAATATTCTAGTTATTTTTTTTTTGTAATTTTCGTAATTTTTTCTTACATAAGAACCTTCTCTTAATAATAACAAATACAAGAAAAAAGAATTAGTGAATTCGGTCCAGCCATTCACTCGTGATGTCGAGACCAAGTGAAAAACTGATTCATTTTTATATAAATTAATAACTTTGATTTTATTCAGTTGTACCAAATTAAACCGAAAAACACATCGGCCTCGGTCCACAGCCTGATGAATTAATAAATAAACATATTACTTGAAAGAAAGAAACTATCAAATACTTTGCAATACCATACGATTTACTAAAGAATTAACTTCAGGCGCGCCACACAAACAGGTTACAGCTAAAATGTAGACAAGTGTCTTGCTCTTAAGCTACGACAGGGTTTGTGTTTGTTTATTTTTAACATACATATATCACTTCTTGACTATATGTAGTTATTATATTTATAGGTTCGGAAGAATAAATAATAAAAAAAAATACTAATTACAAACTAACAATTTAACAATTCTTACAAATTTCTGAAGTAATAGGATTTTAGAAGGATACTAATACACAATGATGATTGATACCTTACAAGAATCTTACAATGTGATTATAAAATGACTCTCGTTACCGTATTCACAGAGATGACTGTTCTGTCGGTTCTTGAGCAATAGGAGGACTCGATACAAGACTAAAAATCTTTGATATCTTTTAAAGAACTTATTAGTTAGAGGGTACTTTAATAGATGAAAGAGGATGGTTGCTTATTACGAGTATATTAATAGTCAATCATGTATAAATTGTATTCAACATTATAACAAGGAAGTGTTCTTTTATAATTGGTTTTGAAAGATTTTTAAGCCGTAACATAGTATTTCATAAGTATGCTATTTATAATAAAAACTTTAAAATAAAAAGCCTAAATTGTTTTGACAAAAATAATACATTATGGATTGTGTGACTTATAATTTGACATTGTAGTAAGTTGTACCATACACTTAGCATCGACTTCAAAACTATAAAACAATCATTTCTGATTTGTGGCAACCAGTTTATTTTTTACTTTCTAGTTTTTTTGCATTTCATCTATTTTTTTAATTTATTTTAACAGAATAACAGATAGATAGTAATTTGTAAATAAATAGTAAGAACAACACTGGGTTGCCATTTCTCGAATATTGTATAAATAGGACTAAGTAAAATTGGTTTAATAAATCTGTTGAATATATTTCAGTCTGTCCATCAATGAACTTCGCATCCAAGGAGTTGTCTACGTTGATGTCAATATTATCGGACAACCCTCCATACGCAGTATCTCATTAGACTCGAGTCTGAAAGGCATTGAGGTATGAGTTAATTTATTATGAATAATTAAAAATTTTAATTAACGTTTAGTTCAAATAGGTAAAAAAAATTTTTCCACGAAACAAGAGTACATAATAATAAAATTGATAATTGTAAAGTAAAATTCACCGCTCATGTTTGCTACAAATATATTATGTTATGTAAGCCTGTTTTAACTATGGCATTTAATTATGAGATTTAAGATTTTCGTGAGTTTTATTCATTTAAATGAAACTTATATTTTTCGGATATACTGCGAAACTTTTAACTTGTAAAAAATGACGGGAGTATGTTGTTTTTTAACAAAAATTATCGTTGTATATCCGAAAAATATTAGTTTCATTTATCGCATTTAATTTCAGGCCGACTTAAAAGCTGAGGCTTAAGGAGTTAACTGTACTGATAAGTAGATAAAGAGAAGATTTATTAAATTCTTTATATATTTTATTAGATGGCATCCACAGAAATCTTTGAGGTCTTGTTAAAACTATTCTCGAGTAATTCTGGCGCAATTAAAAGAAAAATTTAAACACTTCTCTCATGTATCATAAACTTTCAGAGCGAAAGACTTATTTTTATAAAGTATTTTCGTTCTTGGAGGTTTAGAGGAGGATAAAAATTAAAGTGTTACGTTTAATTACAATGTTATGTTAAGTTTTTATTATTGTTTTGATCCCATTTCTAAAGATATTTCTTTAATTATTGCTATGAATAAATAGAAATGATTATGAAAATCAATGAGAATAAATATACGGACATAAATATAAACAAAATTTTATTGTTTTCAAACTATTTAGATTGATTACAATTGCAGGTTTTTTATTTATAATAATACGCACCAATTTTATAAAATCTGTACTGTATTAACAACTACAAAGCTATTATTAACTCCTATACTTCTAAAATATATATATGCTTTTTTTTGCAAATACATTTTTTAGTAACATGTGAATTTTATTCCACACAGGAGAATCCAATAATTCAAAAGAATATTTAGTACTGTAGTCATAACCATTTATGTCTTGTCAGTCTCTTACGTACTCAGAAGAAAATTATGGGAACGGGTCAATCAAGCAATATTTTTCTAAACATCAATATAAGTCATATAATAAAAAGACTATCGCCACAGATGACCTTCTACAATTACTATTTTTACTAGCCTGACCTGTGCACTCAACTTGGAAATTTCTCAAGCTATAAATGTAGGAGAAAATTTGAGGATATCATGAGGATCATAAAGTTTTCTATATTACATCCAGCATGCTTTTTTATTACAGATTATAACTTGGAAATGAAACATAAATTATCCTACATCTTTATAGATCATGTGAAAGTATAGGATTATCGTCGATTGCTATGTTGTGTGGATGTTGATGTTTCCAGAATGAATTTTTTTTTCAAGGGTCAAAGAACAAAGGGGCTGGGCAGCAGATTTCCCATTTGGTTGTAAGAATCTACGATCGCTCATGGACATCTGCAACATAACGATTGATTCGTAGACGTTGCAGGCCTTAATTTTTCAATCGTGACTACTTTGGTCAAATTTCTTTTAATTTTTTTATGAAGTTTATAAATTCTCTTATGAGAGTTAAGAATCATGAATACTAATATTATAAAGATCCAGAATTTGTTTGTTTGTCTGAACGCTTGAATTAGGGCTCCATAAGATAATTGCTCCTTTGTCACCCAAGGCGTAAAATCGAAATCCTATTTATGGGTGCGCGCAAAAACTATTAACGATAAAACAAAATAATATACTAGTTTCTAGGTTTCATTAAGGTTCAACAAAGAATAATTTCCGCGAGAAGATATCTAACTATACATAATCTTGAGAAAACAATACTTTTAATATGTATCGTAATATTAAACCTAATCCAAATCAAGCATAATATTACCAAGGCCATTTAAGTAGAAGTAAAATACTTTTTATTTGTCATTGAAGTCATCAAACTACTTAATTTGAATTAAAATTTTATAATTGCGAAAGATTATTACAATTACGATTAAAAACATTATAATTGCGAAAGTAATTCTGTTTAACTTTCAGTCCAAATTACCAAGACTGCCAGACGTCACGTACTTTCTGGCGGATGAAATGTGGACGATTGAGTAGCATCAGTATGTACTATGATCGTATACCTACCAGCTAACTTGACCAAACGGCCAATTTCCAGGTATCAGGTAATCAAGGTACATGAAATCGTTACTTACTTCATCTAAATACTCATGGTTGATTTTCATATATCACTATATCAGACACTTGTTGGTGATGTAGGTGAAAAAGAACGTGTATTTAACATAATACAAACAAAAATATCTGTGATGTTTACATCGTTCCTGGAATAATTGATGCAGATGCTGTGAAACTACAGTTATTTATTAATCTTCTTCTTCTTCTACCTGGCAATTTCCCAGCTATAGCCAGGGGCTGCCTTACATGATGTGAATAGTTTTTGCTATTTGTTTTTACGACCGGCCGCCTGCCTGCCATCAACCCTCTTTAATACACACGGCATTTAATATAAGATACAAATATTCACTTTGCCATAATCTCAGGTAATCGTTTGTGCCGTTTGTATGTCGTTTCTCGAAGGACTGACTCAAAATCAACCCGGCGGCCCTTTTGCAAAACAATCCTATTACTGGAACATTCCAAAACATTCTCGTTTATACTTTTATTACATAAATGGAGAATGAATGTTCTAGTAAACGTGTAGTTAATAGTTCAATATTATACTACATACAACTGTTATAATCTTTAAAAAATATACATGAATAAACTGCTCATTTGTTATTCTGATGTAAAGGCTACATTATTGAAACTTTTCATTAAAATAAGTACTGTTTTTTTTTATTTGTACGAACGAAGAACATCTTTACTTGCTACCATATT